ATGGTTATAAAGATCGAGATGTACACTAAAAGAAGAATGTCAAAAATCATTCCTCTCAGAAGGTACTTTACCACCAGGAAGCTTCAAAATGCAAGGTAAAGCACATATACTATTTCTGAAGACATTTGCTATCAAAACCACTAGTCCCCTGGCTTCTGAACTGTAATCAGAGCCCTTGGTGGACTTTATACTATCTGACCAACTTATAGTGTTAAGTATGTCAAAATGGCAGAACATCAAAACAACAGAGCAAATCAACATTTGCTCAATACCAACCTAAATTATGAGGCCAAAACTCTGTTATCACTATTCACCAGTTATTACGTATTACTTATCTTTTTTTTTTTTTGGAGAGGATTTTGCTATAGGGCGTGTGCGCTCGCCAGACAGACAGAAAGATACATAGAGACAGAAAGCGAGAAATCACCCCCCAGGGGGGATGGTCATGCCGCAATCCCTTCTCCTCCATTCTCCTCTTGGAATGGAATCTTGGGCACGCACGCACACGGCGTGAGTTTTAAGCTACTGGGTCCGGGACACGAACCGCGGTCGACTACATGGGAGTCCAGCGACATAGCTATTATGCTAACTGCTGATTCCCAAGTATTCCTTATCTTGAATAAAAAAAAAAATACTTTTGGAAGACAGAAAATATATATAGAAAACATCAGATGTTTGTACACTCTTTTATATCTTAAAAGGAAGTAAAGTTAATGTAGATGATGATTTAAATACATAAATGGCATTATCAGTAGAGTATGAATGTACGTTCCATATATGTTAAAGGAAATAAATTCTTCAACAGACTTGGAGTCTTCTAAATATGATGTATGTGACTAACAGCTAAGAAGAAATGTGAAACTGCTGGAAATACATTAAAATCTAGGCACAGAAACATGCCTTGGTGACAGTACAGCTGAATGTGCAAATTTGTGCAGGAATGTTGCCAAATTTTGGCAATTCCATCAGTCTCATATTTATTGACAACAGCCTTTTCTTTTTCAGTTATAATGTCATATTTAAAGAACATTAGTTGAGTTGGATGACTGTCTGGTCTTCAAAAACAGACTTAAGACTTGGATTTACAAAGGCATGGAACTTTAAATAATAAAAAAATTAGTAGGGACCAGTAGTTAGCGTAATGGCTATGTTGCTGGACTCCCATGTAGTCGACCGCAGTTCGTGTCCCGGACCCGGTGGCTTAAAACTCACGCTGGGCGCGTGTGCGTGTGTGCCCAAGATCCTGAGAGGAGTACGGAGGAGAAGGGATTGTGGCGTGGCCATCCCCCCTCGGGGGGTGATTTCTCGCTTTTTGTCTCTCTGTCTCTCTCTGTCTGTCTGGCAAGTGCATGCGCCCTATATCAAAAACCTCTCCAAAAAAGTGAATAAATAAAATAAAATAAAAATTAGCACAAAAAATTAAATGTTCTACAAAAATTGCCAATGCAGCTCTCCAAAACCAGTACCATAGAATAAAAGAGGCATATTATTTGGCATTTCATTCTACATGTTCTTTGGAATATATTAGTTCTTAATTTTTCTGTAAAAATTGTATTTTTAGACTACTGTAGTATCAGAATGGAATATGATTAAAGATAATTTGCATTTTAAAGCATATACTCTTAATACACTACCTTATACATTTCCTATTCTCAGGATTTGCTTGTTCTTAAGAATAAATTTGGTATTTGACTCCTTTACAAATAATTTAATAGCCACATTTTATCCTAGTCACTCTGAGCCCCTTCTATATCCTCAATGCTGTAAAAAATTATATTAGAGAGTGAAAAACATGATATTTTTCTTTAAGAGTTTATAATTTAATATGGGTTTAGGTTAAAATATATATATACATTTAAAGGTACAAACATTCTATAACCTAGCGGCTGGCAGGTGGCATGGTGTATAAGGTGCTGGACTCGCACATGGTTGACCACAGTTCTAGTCCCAGACTAGATGGCTTGCTTCCTCACTTTCCCTTTCTTCTGCTCTGCCTCTCTGTGGTCAAATTAAAATAATAATAATAATAAATAAAAATTAAATAAATATTTCTTAAAATCTTATAACCAGTTCTAGTAAGTATGATAATATAAAATAAAGTTGTTGACCATTTTGAAGGAAAAAAATACTGCAATTTTTGCAGTTGAACAGTAATAACAAGTACAACTGACAAAGCACTTTGCAATTTAAAAAGTGATTCTCATAAAATTCGTTGAATCTCAAAACATCCCATGAAAAGCTATGGGTATGTTTTCACACTTGATTCATGAAGAATCTGAGAATCCAGAAAACGTTAAGTGATTAAACAAAATTTACACATCCGGTATAGAGCCAAAGCTCAAATTGGATTCTCACAGCTAAACCAAGGATGCTATTAAATTTACAATTTTTGAGTTCTATCACACCGGTTACCTAATGTGGTCATTATAACAACCCTGTAAGGTAAAAACAGCAGCTAGTGTTAGTTGAATGCACATTGTGTGGCAGGTGGTGTTCTGTACTACGGTAGTTCACCCTTACCCATGGTTTCCCTTCTAAAGGTTTCACTTCCCAGTTTCAGTTATCCATGGCACTGTACAGTATTCTGAGAGAGAGACCACATTCACATCACTTTTATTACAGTATATTGTTAGAATGGTTCTACTTCATTATCAGTTGTTGCTAATCATTTACTATGCCTCACAAATAAACTTCGTCATAAGTAGATATGAATAGAAAAAATAAACATATGCATGGTTTAGTACTATCTGCAGTTATAGGCATCCTCCCAGGTTAGGAACCATTAATATAGTAATTCAGTTGCTCCACGCAAAACACTAAAGGAAGAATTCTATTATTACATCACTTTACAGATGAAAAAACAGGCCAGTAAAAATAAATTGCCCAAGATCACAAGGCTACAAGGTATAGAAATCAGAATTCAAACCCAGAACATCTGATTCCACAGCCAATGTTGTTCTTCTTCAGCTTATTTTTAAGCAGGTTGACAAATTTTCCCAAAGTTACAAGGAAAAGAATGCATCATAAGAACAAGAAGCATGTCTTCTAGCTCTTTATCCTAGCTACTTTTCCTAAATGTAGTTGGATTACAATTATGTGGCACTTAACTATGGAGGCACATTCTGAAAAAAATGTGTCACTAAGTTGTTTCATCACTGTGGGAACATCAGAGAGTATACGTACACAAATCTAGACCGTACAGCCTTCCACACACCTAAGCTATATGGTACAATCTATTATACACTTACGGAACCACTGTTAGGTATCTGGGCCATCGTTGACTGAAATGTTATGTGGCATATGACTGCAATTGGAATCATTAAATCCAGAGAGGCAAGAAAGCTTTGAGTGTAGGTGGGTATTTGAAGCAGAATATGAGCAGATGAGGAACAGAACACAGTGGCAGGAGAGGAAATTCTAATAGGCTAGAGAAGAATTCTCTTCTTCTGGAGACAGAAGAGTGAAATGTATGTGAGCAGGAACAAATGCATTTGCCATGCTGATGTAGGGTTATGATCAGGGTGGATGAAGAGGGATGACTCTGAAAGTGAAACACTAGATTGATTTGTTTTAAAATAAAATTTAAAATGACTAAAAAATGTGGACTAGATGTTATAATGACCCCCAAAGTGATACACCCACCATTGCTTTAAAATACTTAGCACGTTGGAAAGAATTACGTAAATGCTGAAAGAATCTGACTAAATATTTCATTCTTTTTATTTCTTTTTCTTTAACTAGAAGGGTATTTATAGTTTAGCAACTCCTTTTCATTATTAAAATCTTCCTGTAGATTAGTGACTAAGAGAAGGACATAATTAGCATCACATGTTACATGCTTCTCGGTTTTCATATCATGATTTTATGGTGCTGGATGTTTTAACACATAAACCTTCCACAGAATCATATTAAAATCAGATGAAGAAAATTACAACAAAATCCCATTCAAATGAATAAAGTGAAATGCCAACTTAAACCAAAAGTGCATGTTTGAAGTAAAATTTCCAACAAATACAGAAAAACTAATGATACCTGAGACTAAAAGCAATGAGACCAGGATACTAGTAAGAACCACTTTTTAAAAGACATATTTAATGAGGAAAACTATCCCTAATGGATTTTTTTTCTCATTACTTAAAATAAACCAGGTCACTGAGATGAGCTTACACTATGGTATTTTGTTCATTTTAATCTCATTTTTATTTCATCAAACCATAAATTCCCATGGAAATACCTTAGACACGTGCCTACAATAATTGGAATGCCTGACATTTCAGTGTAAGTACTTTTGCAAGAGTTCAACAAAATAAAAAGAATGCAGTTAGAACTCTGCAAGTTTTTCACTTATGTCAACAGCTATTTTATGACTATGAATTATCTCTATGGCTATAAACTGCAGGTGTAAAATACATTACATGAGAGAGACCCTGTGAAGTCTTTATATGGAAGATCAAGTAAAGGTCTACATTGCACACTGAAACAGGAAAATCAAGCTGAACTTCCTAGAATATAGCAATCATATTTTTTCCTCCCAAAGCCATTACTGTTAAATATACCTTGATGAATTAAGTTCAAGTGTAACTACAATCGAAATATATGATTCAACTGAGTATGACCTATTTTCCCTCTCAAAAGCAAAAGGGAATTATGACAGTTGTGAGACATATTTTTCCATTTCAAGGTCCTTTTAAAATTTATTTTACACTAGAGTTAAAAGCAAAATGCACTTAATGACATTACTTTTCTATAAAATATAGTTATTTAATCCTATTACTTAGAAGACAGATAGCAGTTTAATAACAATTTATTAAATAACAATTGTATTTGTTCTTTTACTTTTCAGCTGTACAGACCAAGAGACATTCAGGAATCTCTATATGCAATATGATATCTAAGTCTAAAATTCAGTTATAGCTACATGATATATTTACATACAACAAAGCCAACAATTGACATGACAAATACAAAATTAACACATATATGTGGTTGAAAATACCCACCCCTAGCAGAAAGCTTTTTGGTGTTGATAATTTTGGCAGCATATTCTTGTCCAGTAGGGATTTTCATACATCTTCTCACCACTGAGAATGCCCCCCTAGAAACCAATAATTAGCAAGTCATCGACATAATCAGATGTAAGAGTCTATTAAAAACTTACAACATCTGAGCAAATTTATTAATGTGAGAGGACTGTTAAATATAAGTGTACTACAAGTAACATCCAAAAATGAACAATTCTTCCTGTAAACTCAGAGCGTCTTTGACGTTGAAAAATAAAAGTAAATTTTATTTGACCGGGAGCACATAGTATCAATCAACAAAATTAGAGAAACTGCCAATTACGACCGCTCTTGTTTGCACAAGAAATTTGAAAACATTTTACAGTTCACACTCTCATAGCACCAAATGGTCTGGGAAAACCCTGTGAAGAACAGAGCTGAGGAGGAGCATCGAAAATCTGCTGCCTATTTATTTTAGCAGAGGAAAAAAAAATGAATGTGGCTCCAAGTAAGTAAATATGGCGATTGTTTTCATTAAAATATAAAAATCTTGAGCACATTTGTGTGGTTTAGCAAATCCTGGTTGGTGATTTCTCTATGCCCTGTTCAGGCTGGGGGAGGGGAGAGACTTGAATTAAGCTGCTCTTCC